CCATGCTTCGGGATGTTTTTTAATATAATGTACCCTTGCTAGGGGTTTTAATATCGTGCATTTGTACTATATTTTATTTATGAATGAATTTTCCCGTGCCGGGTTTTATAACTATGCGTGTGATAGTGGTGCGGGGTTGGTCCCAGTTTTTAACTTAGTTCGAATATGAGCGTACGAATGAAAATCGGCTTACATTGCATCATACGACTATATTCATAAGTTCGAGTATTAACATGCGAACAGGTCGGCGTATCTTGTTAATACGACTTAGAATTTTCTAGGTTCGAATGAAGGTGCGAGTCTGGGCCCGGCTTACTCCATACACAACCTAGAAAGTGCGAGTCTGGGCTCGGCTTTAAAGATTCCCGGGTTAAGTGGAACACACTTTTCCCTTAGATCTTTTAGGTGGTTTCCACTATATTGTTTAAAGAGGAACACGCGCAAGACTAGACTTGGCTTTGGTTATTGTCAAGTTAAGTTGATCAGACTTAACTGTAGGCGTTATCGAATGTCTGGCCAGGACACAGAGGCATAGTAAAGCTCGGAAGCGATTGTATAGTAGTAAAGCACGGAGCTCGGGAACACAAGAATTTATGAAATATGAAAATTTTATTAAGTTATAGCTGGACCTTTGCAGGCTGCCTACGTACCCAAAATGGGATCAAGCCATTTATAGTTCATATTACATAAGAGGTAACTAGCTCGGTAAGAGCTCCCTTTTTTATGTTTTTTTTTTTGGTTTTTTTTTGTTGCGTAGCCCGGGGACGTTCTGGCTGTAGTAGCACTTCAGACTCATCGAGTTCCAGGAATGAGGAACTTCATCGCCGGCCGTTGTTTCCAGACGATAAACTCCTGGTTTGATGACTCGTGTGATGATGTAAGGGCCTTCCCAACTAGCCCCGAGCTTGCCAGCTCGCCATTCCTTCGTATTCTTGTAGACCTTCCGGAGGACAAGGTCTCCTTCATCGAAGTGACGGTTTTTGACCTTCTTGTTGTAGTAACGGGCAGCCTGGTTCTGGTAGTTTTGCATCCGGAGTAAGGCTTCATCGCGCTGTTCCTCCAATGCGTCCAAGTTGTCGATCAGCATTGCATCGTTGAGTCGGGGATGTTCGGGAGCAAGGGTGCGTCGAAGGCTCGGGACGTTTGCTTCAGCGGCGACCATCGCTTCGCATCCGTAGGTTAAGGAGAACAGGGTCTTGCCGGTGGCAGTGCGATGGGACCAAAGTACACCATCGAGCTCATCGGCCCAAAGTCCTTTCTTAGCGTCGAGTCGTTTCTTGATTCCGTCGAGGATGGTTTTGTTGGTTGCTTATGCTTGACCGTTTCCTTGAGGATAGCGCGGGGTGGATTTGCTTAGCCGTATCTTCCATAACTCACAGAAGCCTTCGAACTTCTTGGAGATGAATTGGGAGCCGTTGTCCGTGACGATCTCGTAAGGTAGCCCGTGGCGGCAGATGATGTACTTCCAGACGAAATTTTGAACCTCCTTGTCTTGAATTCGAATGAATGCCTTGGCCTCCACCCACTTTGTGAAGTAATCCGTCATGATGAGCATTTATTTCCTTTGACGCGAGGAAGGAAGCGGTCCGACGATGTCCATAGCCCATCGCATGAAGGGGTAGGGCGGGACGGCCGACGTAAGTAGCTTGGTTGGCTGGTTGATCATCGGGGCGTGCCTTTGACAATACTCGCATTTCTTCGTGTAGTCTTCGCAATCTGCCATCATCGTTGGCCAGAAGTAGTCTGATTTCTTGATCTTCATAACGAGGGCCCAGCCTCCGGAGTGGTTGCCTCCGGCTCCGTCGTGAGTTTTCTTAATGACGCGGCGGATCTCGTCGCCAGCAATGCAATGTAATATGACGCCCGCGGCGGTCTATCGCATGAGATGTTCCTTGTGAAGTGAATAGTGAGCGCTGCGGACTCAGAGGCGGCGGGCTGCCCAACGGTCCTTAGGTTCCAGCTAAGTAATTACGAATTTCGTCACGCCAGTCTTCTGGCTCCTGTTCTGTTGGTTCCTTGAGCGGGGCGTCGATTTCGTCCTCTTGATAGGTAACAGAGCAAACGCCACGATCCGGATCGATACTCGGGGCGTCGATGCTTTGGATCGGGATCAACCGGCGGAGGTCGGTGTCTTTATTTGTAGCCAGGGCAGCCAAGGCATCTGCTTCGGTATTTTCTGCTCGGGGTATCTTGGACAGTTCGAAGGTCTTGAATTCCTTTGCCAGGCTCTGGACAAGTTTGAGGTACTTGTCCATCCGTTCATCTTTGGCATCGTAGTCTCCGCTAAACTGGTTTGCCACGAGTTGGGAGTCGCAGAATGCTCGGATGTGTTCGATGTTCATGCCGCGAGCGAGTCGAAGTCCAGCGATGAGGGCTTTGTACTCAGCTTCATTGTTGGAGGCCGGAAATTCCAATCGGAATGACTTCTCGAGGACTTCACCACTCGGAGCTTCGAGCTGTATCCCGACTCCCGAGCCGTGTCGGTTGGATGAGCCATCCACGTGAAGATTCCAGTGTTGAACCGTGGTGAGGTCGTCGCTGAGAAGCTCGAGTGGTAGTTCGACCAAGAAGTCTGCCAAGACCTGGGACTTGGCGCAGGTACGGGTGCGGTAGTCGATATCAAATTCAGAAAACTCGATTGCCCACTTGGCCATCCGACCGGATTGGGTCGGGCTGTGGAGGATCGTCCGAAGAGGCTGACTCTTAAGGATAGCTATTGTATGGGACTGGAAGTACGGACGCAGTTTCCGAGATGATATGACTACTGCGAGGGTGAGCTTCTCTAAGGTCGGGTATCGAAGTTCTGCGCCGTCTAAACTCTTGCTAAACTCTTGATATGACTACTGCGAGGGTGAGCTTCACCACGGTCTTCTCGGACGAGAACACTGCTAATGGCCGAGCTTGATAATGCCACATATAGGTAAAGCGTTTCGCCATCTTCGGGTTTTGCGAGCATGGGGGGCGTCGAGAGGTAAAGCTTCAGTTGTTGAAAGGCTTCTTCGCACTTGTCGTCCCAGAGGAAGCGTTTGTTGCTGCGAAGAAGTTGGTAGAACAGGAGACATTTGTCCGTGGACCGGGAGATAAAACGATTGAGGGCGGCGATCCGTCCGGTCAGCCTTTAGACCTCACGTGTGTTGCCTGGCGAGGGTAGCTCGAGGATGGCTGAGAATTGCTTCGGGTTTGCTTCTATGCCACGTTGAGTGACCAGATATCCGAGGAATTCGCCGGATGTGACCGCGAAGATGCACTTCGCGGGATTCAGCTTCATCTCGTAGGTGTTGAGGATTTGGAAGCATTCGCGTAGGTGGGTGATGTGATGGTTGGCCTTTAGTGACTTGACAAGCATGTCATCGATGTAGACCTCTATTGTCTGCTCGAGCTGGTCGGCGAACATCTTGTTAACCAGTCGCTGGTAAGTAGTGCCGGTGTTTTTGAGTCCGAACAGCATCACCTTGTAACAGTACGTTCCTCTGTTTGTGATGAACGAGGTCTTTTCCCGGTCTGAGGGGTGCATCATGATCTGATTGTACCCCGAGAATGCATCCATGAAGGATAGCAGCTCGTTGCCGGCGGTTGCTTCCACGAGTTGGTCGATGCGAGGCAGCGGGAAGCTGTCCTTAGAGCAGGCCTTGTTGAGATCCGTGAAGTCGATGCAAACGCACCATTTGCCGTTCTTCTTCTTTACTACCACGGGGTTGGCGAGCCAGTCCGGGTATTGAACCTCTTGAATTGATCCGGCGGTAAGGAGCTTCTCGACTTCATCCTGGACGGCCTGAGCTCGCTCGGGACCGAGCTTGCGCCTTTTCTGTTTGATGGGTTTGAACGTAACGTCTACGTTCAGCTCATGGCTGGTGATGGTCGGACTGATCTCCTTCTGTCCGCCATGGACCATGCGAACGTGTTGACGTTCTCACGGAGGAAGGCTATGAGGTCGTCGCGCATACTGGGAAGAAGCTCGGTACCGATTCCGACGCATCGCTCGGGGTGCTCAATGTCGATGCTCACTTGTACGACCAGGTCGTTCTTTGGCTTCTCGTAATGCATGACGCGGGGATCCATATTATCGATAACGAACGTAGACGAGTGTCGGACTCGATGCTCGGCGATGTAGCAAGACCGGGACTCGCGCTGGTCACCTCTGATCATGATGATTCTCTTTCTGCCCGGGTACTTCAGGCATTGATGGTATGGTGAAGTAACAGCTCACATAGTACTGATCCAAAGTGTCCCGAGGATGACGTTGTAAATGGCCGGTCTGTCGATGACATCGAATTTGATCATGGTGACGATGCCTCCTTCGGTCGTGATGGACAGTTTGATTGTGCCGATAGTCGAGGTGGAGTCGTTAGCGAAGCCCGTGAGTGCTTTCGGGGCGACTTTGATCTCGCTGTCTTTGATCCCCATCTGAATTAGTGTGGTCTTGAATATGAGATCGACGGAGCTGCCTGTGTCGACCAAGATCTTCGAGACATCGTCCGATCCGATACGGAGAGAGATAACGAGCGGATCGTTGTGTGGGCGGTCAAGGCCTTCAGCGTGTGCTTCCGTGAAGGTGATGGGCAGGGTGTCGTCATAGGCCGGCGTCTCTTTCGTGGCGTTCGTGGCACGGCGCTCATGCTTTTTGATCGAGTTGATCGAGTCATTGCATGTAAGGAGGCCGCCCATGATCATGTTGATCCTGCGTCGGGGTGACTGGAGTGCGGGTGGTGATGGAAGCGAGTCCCCCCGTGCACGCTTGGGATTCTCGTCAGGACGGGTCTGTTCTTGATGCGCAGGGGCGCGTCGGTCGTCAGCCCGAGGGCGGGCTTGATCGGCACGGGGTCGGCGTGTGTATCCATCTCGTAGTCGGTCATTCAGTTTGATCTTACCGGCCAGCCAATCTTGCATGAGGACGTCTCGAAGGTGGCGGCATTCGGTGTCGTCGTGGCCGGAGCGCTTGTGCCAGGTGCAATATGGTTGCTATCCAGAGGCGTTGCCCGAGGAGTTTACCCATTTGTTCCATGGGTGAGGTCAGGTGATATTCGAGACGTTGGCCTTGCGAGCCTTGTCGTCGCGGGGTTCCTGGTATTTCTCTTCTTTAGGTCGGGAGTTTTTTGTCTTCTCTTGTTTGTGTATCCTCCATGTTCATGAATTTTATGGCTTTGTGGAGGAGTTCGTCGAGGGATGTAGTTTTGCCTGTTGTCATTTTGTCGTAGAACTTTTGGTTCTTGCGAAGGTTGAGGCCGAGTGCTATCAGGGCGTTCTCGTCTGTTGGGTTGCATCGTGCGACGACGGTGCGGAAATGACCGATGTAGTCGCAGAGGGTTTCCTTTTCGCCATGGACGCATGTCCAAAGTTTGGCGGTGTTGCCTCCTCGCTCGATATACATGGAGTAGTGCCGGAGGAATTCCAATGAGAGTTGGACAAACATCTCAATGGAGTTTGGTTTGAGCTTGGAGAACCACTGGAGGGTGTTTCCGGCAAGAGATTCCACGAAATATTGGCAGAGGGAGGCGTCATGTTCTTCTGGTGAGAACCGGGCTCGGTTCATCGCGTTATTGAAGGTCATGAGATGTTTTTGCGGGTCTGTGTTGCCGACGAATGACGCTGGAAGCTTCAGTTTCACGGTGCCTCGGAGGGGTACGCGGGTGATACAGTCTGCGAACGGCGTCTGTTGAGTAAGCTTTAGGACCTTCTTAAGCTCGAGGGCCGAACTAGTCGCGTGGTGGACTTGAGATTTGATTTCGTTGATCCTCTGGTGGAGATGGGTGAGCTCGGCTTGCTCGGGGGTCTCGTGGGGGGTAGAGTCCGGAGCGGACAGGCGGGATTTATGCTTAGATCGCGCGTTGGAGTCCTTCATGTGCTGGTGGTCGCTGCCCTGGGCTGGGGTGGGTGTTTCGCCGAAGATTAAGCGCCTGGCTCTGGATGCGGTGATGCCCGGGGGTATGTGGATGGCTCTGGGAGTGCCGGTCTTGGTGTCGTCTTCGTCTGGTGGAGATTTGGGTCGGGAGTCCCGTAGTGTCTCCAGGTACGCGACCTGCTGAGCTTTGAGAGCCCCGATCTGGTCGTTCAGCTTGTTGTCCATCTGCGCCATGAACGATTGTAGGATGATGGTAATGTATGTTGGCGCGGGTGGAGGCGGAGAGGGCGGGAGTGTGCCCGTTGTGTTGAGGGAGCTCCGGGCTGGCGGAAGGTCGGTCTCGTCGGTCGTTCCGTGCTGTTGGACGTTTGAACTGCCACCGAGCTCTAGAGGGGTAGAGCCCAGTCCGGTCTGCGGTATCCTGGGGTTGTTCCCGACCTGATTTTGGGCGGGTGGTTGGATGATCGTATCGTCGGTGGTATTGTCGGTGGATCGCTTCTCCGTGGACATCTTCGAGTTCCGGCGTGAGTAGACGAACTTGTATCTTTTGTTCCCCACAGACAGCGCCAATTGTAAGATCTAGATATCTCCCTAAGAGAAAATATAAAGATTGCGGGGGCAAAAGATATAGTTTTATTGAATTTAGCCGGAACTTGAAAAGTACAAGAGATTTAGGTCGTCGGAAAAGAACGCCGACCTAAGTTTTAAGAATAAAGAACCGAGATCTAGAACTGGAAACAGTAAGCTATTATTTGTCCTAGGTCTCGAGTCGGAAGTTGTGAATAATTGATCTTCGAGGGAGAGGGCTCTTCTTATATAGCCTTTGTAGACCGCCTTGAGAATAATCCTTCTCCTTCGAGATTAGGATAGTTTCCTTTCTTCTCGGGGTCTTCTTTCCTTTTCCTCCGCGATACGAATATATCTTCGGATATTTCTATATTTGAGCACCGAGCTAAACTCGGAAGCGGAGGTAGGGCTTCAAATGGGCATTGTCTCAATTTATGAAGGGCTTTTAGCAAGGGGATAAACCCATCACTAACAGTCATATGCTCGCCGGAATCTTGAAACAAAATGGCGTCGATGTCGAAGGAGTCAATTTCGACACTAAAGCCTGGACGGCACTTGCATTTGTGACCCTAAGATCCGACGGAGAACGTGAATTCATGTTTTACCGACACCCTAGCGCCGATATGCTACTCCGTCCTGATGAGCTTAATCTCGGTCTCATCAGATCAATATGTTATTTTGACCAATCTTGATGGTTCCCGCTTTTAATTATAAGACGGTGCTAGACCACACGTACTCACCGTTACGGTTGTTGGTAGACCTAACTTAGAGGAAAATTTAGATTAACGAAGTGCTCTGTTTTGTTTTGGTTTTATACAGGCTAAGGTATTCCACTATGGATCAATAAGCCTCATCGTTGAGCCATGTCGATCTGCTCACATGAAGGCCATGGAGGTGGCTAAAGAAGCTGGTGCATTGCTCTCGTATGACCCAAACTTGAGGCTGCCTTTGTGGCCCTCGAAGGACAAAGCTGAAGTGATCAAGGTCACTGACGAAGAGCTTATGTTTTTGACTTGATCTGATAAGGTTGATGATGAGACTGCTTTGTCTCTGTGGCACTCTAATCTGAAACTTCTCTTAGTCACATTGGGATATTACACCAAGGTAAAATGGTTTTGTTTCTTGCAGATTTTACTTTACCATTAATGTTACTCAAGTTGTGTTCTTGTGCTTGTATGATTACAGAACACCCGTGGATCTGTTGATCCTTTCCATGTGAACACAGTGGATACAACTGGTGCTGGTGACTCATATGTTGGTGCCTTGCTTGCAATATCGTTGATGACCGAGCCGTGATGGAGGTATCAGATTATTCTGCGATTTCGGAATCTTTGCTTCGATTACTAACTCTTCTTCTGTCTTTAATTACAGGATGAATCTCGTCTTAGAAAAGTGCTTAGGTTTGCGAATGCATATGGAGCCATTACAACGACGAAGAAAGGAGCGATTCCAGCTCTTCCTACAGAGTCTCCTAAATGGAAATTGATTGAATATTTAGGATTTCACGTTTTACTTTTTGGCTTTTGGCCTTTTTTTTTTTCTTCAGCTTTTGGCTCTGTGTTCTTGTAGAACCGAACGTTATTCAAGAGTATCCAAAAGTATATAAACTGATAAATTTCGTATATACCGACGAATTTAAAATTTTAAATATTCTAAGACACAAAATTCTGGAAAAAATTAATCACTAAATAATCACTAAAGGTCGAAGCGTAAAACTCGACTACTTACTAGTGCACAATATTATTGTATCTTTTGCTTTGCACTTTGTGTAATATCTTTCTTAAACTTTGTGACTTCTTTGTAACGAGTACAATAACTATTAAAAACGCAAAGAAGTCACAAAGTTTCGGTTTCGGTTATGTCGGATTGAAATCCCATGATCCCAACGCCAGTTCCATCTTCCGATATATATAAATAAATTGAATCAAATTTAAGGTTTAAACTGGTTATAGAAAATGAGGAAATGTTTTAAAATGATCACAAATGAGAAAATAATATGAAACACTCGGTGAGAAAATTTGTAAAAATAATTTTTTTTACAAATTTTATAAATACTAGTGTTTTGTCCACGCTACGTGTGGATTGTATAATTATATTGTAGTTTTATAAAAAGTTGTCAATTAATTTTATGTTTAATATTGTGATAAATTGTAGAGTAGTATATTTGCATGTGATTCTTAGATATAGTCGAACGAAGTAAATATCAGAAGGATATATAAATATATGTGAAAAATGATCGAATTTTTTGTATAATAATTTGAAAGTAGATTAATGTATCTTTTGGCTTAGTTAAACTTTTTTTTAAGAGGTAATGCATGTTTTTGCAAATATGAAAGGTTAAGTTTGACCTTTTTGTATAATAATTTAATGTGTAATTTTATTATATTTTTTATTTATGTAAATAGTATCCACATGAACTATATATTATATTAGAAATCTATTGTCTAAATTTGGACATCTTGTGTTATAATGCTATTTCTTTAGTGAACACCATGAGTATTTTTTATACTTTCAAAAACCTTTTGCATAAGCTTCCATTTCGCTTGATGCTTTTAAATAGAAAAACTCAATCCTTACTCTATTTTTGTTTCATATTGTATCTTAGGATTTTGTTTTTAATTTTCATATAGTATGCATTTCTCTACTTATCAATTTTTTTAAGATTCAGTCTGCACATATATGTTTTATAATTAGTTCATATATTCAACGAAGAAAGCAAATGGCAATTAATAATAAAATTCTTTATTATATGAGTTTCTTATTAATTGATATAATATTTGTTTGGTAGTTTAGCTAGCTCAATCATTTGCCAATATTGGTGAAGAGTGTGGAATCTATCGTTATATGTTATTTGAAAAAAAAATCTTTTCAGTTTTATGTTTCATGAAATTTTGCAAATGACGGTGAGTAACTGTCTTTAAACACTGGTTCTTTAGTTAAGTTTTTACTTCAGTTTTTCCACAATATCGGATTACAACGAACAATATGAAACTCTATATCAGCTTTAGAAATTTGAAATCTGTTATAAGTAAAAAAGTTACAATTGTATAAATTAATTTTCTCTAGAATAAAGAAAATCAAGTCGCTCCTTAATTTTTACTTTTGGTGAGAAAAACGTTCTCAAGTTCCAACAATACAATGATTGAGACTCATTCTACTCGATTCACATTATAAATATAAATATAAAACAGTTGTGAGATTGTATTTTTATGTTGCTTACAACAATCTCAAGCATGAGACATATTAGACTTCATTTGTGATAGAGTTGTGTATTATTTATACCATATGTGGCTCATCGCTATTGCTTTTTTTTTTTGACATCCTCATTGCTATGTCTTTTGGATTTCTAAATGTTTATGCTCCACTTATTTAAGTTTTATTGTTTATTACCAGTTTTGTTGTCATTAATTAAAAAGTAAAATTTTTGTTTAGTGACGGCTGATTCCGTTTCTGGTGAGTCAGAGGCGAGATGATTGAAAACCGAGAAGACGATGACTCTATAAAATAAGCTTTTGTTTAAGCTTTATAATTGAGTTTTTCAGTTTTTTTAAGATTTGTTTTTTATTTTATTTTATTGATAATTTAAGATTTATAAAAGTTTTTTTTTGTAGGTAAAATTTGAGAAAATTTTGATTAATAAATTATTTAATGAAATGACTTTAAATTATTGGTCGAAAAAGATGACATAGCAGTTTTGGAATCTATCATTGGTTAATTATTTTTGCTGATGTGATAGCCCTTAAAAGCCTAGAAATCTATCTCTTTTATATAAAGGAGATTAATATTATTCTTCTAAATACTTTTACTTGTAAACTATTGATAAAATCATAAAATGAATGCAAACTACTAACAAACTAATCGTTCATATAATTGAAGATAGATTAGTTTCTGTCATAACTAATTGAATATTTTGGTCAAAAAACTGCCTGTCATACCCTTAACCGTTTGAAAAATAAAATATTGATCCAACTAATGTTGAAATCAGTTATTTAAATTTATCACACATCTCACATAGGAGATAAGAATGATGAATATTTTAAATTAATATGGTATGATACTATCATATCTACGTTTTTCAACAGACTGCATTTCCAGTATTAGATTTAGTAAACATAAATAGTGGAGAATGGAAATATTAATGATAAAAGTAGAAAGGAATAGTTATGTACAATATTGTTTCACTAATATATCCCATCATCATAAAAAATAAAATCTTTTTTAGAAACAAACATACCTATAAATTGGAAGATATCTATCTACTAGATTATACAGCCATAATGATATAAATACATTAGTAACAAAATATGAATTATGCATATAGTATGGAAATTTGTTCCTCAAAAGATCTAGAAGAAGTAACATCACCCCACCAGAGTCAGCATGCAAATGCTACCAAAATAACAACTCTCATTCGTCATTCTATAAATACCCTTTCTTCCCATTCTCACTTCTTCACCACACCACAGCAAACCCTTAATTTACACTACTGTCAAAAACGTGAGTTTTTTCATATACTTTTATTTAACATACCCGTTAACAACCAAAATGGTCTTAATAGTGTTGTATGTGTTCATGGCTCTGACCATTCTTGCCATGGACCTAACTATCTCTCAAGCCACATCTCGTGTCACTTTTCACGAGTCATCCATTCCTGATTACCATCAACATTGGATGATCCAGTTTTCTCGCGTTTATACGGATGAATCCGAAAAACAGACGAGATTTGAAGTGTTCAAGAAAAACTTAAAATTCATTGAGAACTTCAATAACAATGGGAATCAAAGCTACAAACTTGGTGTCAACGAATTCACGGATTTGACCAAAGAGGAGTTTCTTGCCACCCATACCGGTCTCAGAGGCATCAACGTAACTTCACCATCTGAAGTGGTTGATGAAACGGTGCCATCTTACAATTGGAACGTTACTAATGTTGTCGGCGAGAGCAAAGACTGGACAAAGGAGGGAGCTGTAACACCTATCAAAACGCAAGGACAATGTGGTAAAGTTACCTGAAATATATATTATAAACAGTCTCTGAAAAACGGAGAAATTAAACAACAGGATCAGTAATGTCATAATTAATCGTTAGGGGTATCATTCTAGGTTTAAGGGTTACCAATACAAGATTCGTTTTGTAACAATGATAATCAATATATGGGCAGGTAGTTGTTGGGCATTCTCAGCGGTTGCAGCGATGGAAGGTCTGGCAAAGATTACCCGAGGAAACCTCGTATCACTGTCCGAACAGCAGCTTATAGATTGCGATAGACCGGCTAATGATGGTTGCAATGGGGGAACAATGGAAGAAGCTTTCAACTACATAGCGAAAAGCGGAGGCATTTCTTCAGAAAACGAATACCCTTATCAAGTGAAAGAAGGGAGTTGCCAGTCCAACATCAAACCCGCCATGCAGATAAAAGGGTTCAAAAGGGTTCGACAAAACAACGAGGTTCAGTTGCTCGGGGCTGTATCGAGACAGCCTGTATCGGTGTGCATTAAAGCGACCGCGGCCAGTTTCATCCATTACTCAAGCGGATTGTACGATGCGCGTGATTGTGGGACGACCAACTTGGATCATGCAGTGACGTTGGTTGGGTACGGGACGAGCCCCGAAGGAATCAAGTATTGGCTGGCAAAGAACTCTTGGGGTGAGACTTGGGGAGAGAGTGGTTACATTAGACTCCGTAGAGATGTGGAGTGGCCTGAAGGCATGTGTGGTATAGCTACGTTTGCTTGTTATCCGGTTGCGTAATTAATTATGTTAGATGATTTATATTGAAGTATTCATATATACATTATGGCGTTTAGTTTTTATATATTTGTATTTTGATAGTATATGTTTAAGTTATTTTAATAGTACTAATATTTATATGTAATACCTTTATGGTTAACATTGAAACCTCTCTATAATATTATATATATGACTGTATTTTTATTAAATGTTTTTTGTTTATTCAATTTGATCAGTTTATTACCAAATTATATTCAGAATCTACGATTTCTAAATCATGATATTCATACAGTTTATATGATATAACCAAAACCAAATTATAATGTTCTAATTTAGTTTGACTGTAGATTAGTTTGTTTCGGTTTCGCCGGGTTTCACATCCCAACACTAATTCCATCTTCTCCCTCTATATCCCAAAATATAAGATGTTCTAGATAAAAGTATACAGATTAAGAAATTCTTTTTTTTTAAAACATTATTAGTTAAAAACATAATTCAACCAATCATAAAATACTGCAGAATTTGAAAGTATAAGAAAAACATAAAACTTTGCATAAAAACTTGTAAAATGTCCAAAACAAATTACTAAAAGATTTTCTTACCATAGGACAGAGGGAATGATATTAAATTAAATCATATTTGAAATCTATATTGCTATACAAAATTTAGATAGATAATAATATATGGATAAAGTAAAATCCTTGAGAAATTATCTGTCATGACCTTAACCTTGATAAATTTGTTTATATTTGAATAATAAAATAAAAGGAGATCTGTAGCCAACTAATGTTGAAATCAATTATTTAAATTTATTACACACTCACATAGGAGATATGAATGATGGCTATTTTAATAATTAATATGGTATGATATTTCGTTTTTTCAACATACTATAATTCTAATGTTATAGTAAACATAAATAGTGGAGAATGGAAAATGTTAATGATAAAAATAGAAATTGATACTTAATTTCTTATGAAAGCTAGATTGGAATTAATCTAAAGCAGTGAAATTAAAAAATCAAATTTGTTCTATAACTAAAATTATACTAATACATTGAAACGATAGAAAATAAAAGATTTCTAGGGTGAGTTACGTAGATAACTAGATATAAAAACATAACTTGTTAATTAGGTCTATTGTAAAGGATAGTTAAGACTTTTTTTTTTTTACTGCAGGATAGTTAAGACTTACGTAACTAAAAAAGAAAAAGAAAATTAAACCATAAATACCCTTTCATTTTGTTTAATTATACAACACTGTATTGGCATAAAAAAAACTCCGACACTGTTTATATACCGTTCGACGATACAGTTCATCTGCCACCGGCCGACGATAGTGTCCATCGATGCTAATTGCTAAATAATATGGTAATTAATATGATATCGCAATAGATTAATAAAAAATGATCATCTAAAGATTAAGTTACCCCTATTTTTGTAACTTTTTTTTTAAACTTGATTTTTTTTTTAATTTTGTGATATACATAGTTTTAACTTGTAAGTGTACAATAAATATTGTAGTAAAGTAAAAATTAAATCTACAAAAATCAAATATCACACTGCAAATCTTAATGAATGAAATTAAGCTAAGACAAAAATATGATTGTTTGCAAATATGAGAATGAAAATATCAAATAATAAATGCTGTAAAATCAATAAAACAAGACGCTAGATTAAGGGTAAGTTAGCATAAATTCAGAGATCATCAATCAAATAATTATTTAGGAAATGAATTAGAAACCATTCTAAAACTTAAAATGCAGATATATAATTAATTCACTGTCGTGATATCAACTACTTTGTCTAACAATCTAAGATTTTAAATTATCGTTTTAACTTAGAATTCTACACAAGCTTTAATTTCAAGTTTGATAGGTTCACAAAAACGCATTGACATTAGCTTTCGCTGGCGAAAGACGTTTCTGTTCTTTCAGACTTTTTAACAAATATTTTTGGTGAACTAAACAACCAAGTTCAGAAACTAGGTACTTACTCAAGTTTAAGCAATGAGATCAATAATAAATAAAGAAGCCACAAGATAAATCTCTATCTATGTATGATTCAATGAATCATAAATTCTTTGAAATCCTAAAACTAATTATAGAACTACTCAGACATAGAAGCAAAGAACAAGCATATAAATGAAGAGAACCCCATGATCAATAAATAAAAAATCCAAAAGGGTTCAAAATTCTTCTCAAAGATGTAGAGTTAGAGATTCTTCTCCCCAAAGCTTCCAAAGATCCAAAACCAAAAGAAATAATAGAAAATAATGTATTTTTTCAAAAAGTGGTTAAAAATAATATACGATCAAAATAGGTTTAGTTAGGATGATTCCATGGCAAAATCAAAAATTGCAGATTTCCTTTTTCATATGAGGATGGGAACGTGGTCGTTTTTAAAATTTCCCGCAAAACTGAAACGATCATTCTGGATGTGGATCGATCGTTCAAATGACTCCTATCTGCGCATAATTCATTTGCTCGCAAGACTGAACTCTTCACAAAAACTGGCATAACTTTTGGTCGCACTGTTAGATTTATAGAAATAAGCATTGAAATATTTGTGAGTTTAGAATTATAGAAATAAGCATTGAAATATACCTGACAAACTTCTCAAGGACAAAAGCAAGTGCATCATATCTGAGTTTAGAATTATAGAAATAAGCATTGAAATATGTAAACTCACAGTGATGATATTAGCTAGTTGTAGCATCAATTGCTCTTTGTTTACTTGAACTCCATGGTTGCTGTTTTCCTCAAGTCTAGAGGTGACTAAGGATTTTCCAGGACTCTCAGAATTTTGTTTAGAGTCTTGAGCTTCTAACTGATATGAATCAATCATAGTTAGCTCATCTAGGCGTGCTGGTGTTGACACTGCATCTGATTGCTCTTCTTCTACTTTTTCATCCTCCATTGGACAAGTCAATTGTAGAATCTTCTCTCCTTGTAACTTTTCATCTTTGCTGGGTTCCCTTTCTTCTTGTCTTATTCCTGGATCAAAACTCTTTGGCAAAGACAAGTGCATAAGTCTATCATTGGGAACTAATAATTCAGAATGAGATACACTATCACTATGAATATATTTTTCTGTTTTCTCTTCTAGTGAAATTTCTGCCAACATTTTCTTAATAGAACAATTTGCAGCAAAGTGTCCTCTCTTATGGCACTCATAACGTGTTGTTTCTTTAGAATTAACAAAGTTAGAAGACTTACTTTGGATTGGTGGGTCTGGTGACTTTGTTATAGCCTTAGAGCTAGATGTTGTTGCCTTGGGTGCAACTTCTCTTTTTAAGGGCTCATCTTTGGAGCTCGGTTTCTGGTCCATTGCAAGGCTTATTTGTGGAGCACAACAATCAGCTTGGTCTGTTCCCTCTTTGGTACCTAGGGCTTTCCCAACTCTTTTTGACAAAACCAAGTGTATTGCTTTTTTAAGTAATTGATCAATGTTTTGAAATATTGTTGAGGTACTTACCTCTGTGCCTTCTTGTTGATCTTCTTTCTTGACACTTACTGGTGTTACATGAGTTTTACGGCTTCATCTCATGTAGGATGTGGTTTCCTTTCTTGAGACTTCCTTAGCAATGTGTCCTCTATTCTACAACTTATAACTTGTGAGTTCTGAAGGATCATTAGGGACATAATATATACTTTGGCACTTGACTGATTTGGAGTTTATGTGTTGCACCAGATTAAGAGTTTGATAACTAGGGCCGTGTTTGCCATATGATGGCTTGAGATTCACCTCTCCACGGCCTGGTCCTCCTTCATATACACTTTGGGAGTTTTCATCTTCAGTCAATGACTCTTCCATAGGTTTGTGATCTAATCCTTCTCATTCATCTTTTTCTTCTTCACACCATGTTGTACTGGGGGATCATGATCAATCTTCTGAGGACATGGAGTGCCTTCATAGTCCTCTTCTGAACAAGACCACGTCTCCACTCCTTGTTCTGCTTCAGAACATGAATATTGGCTAAGGGTCTCATCTTGACTTGAGTCACCTTCATGTGAGTGCTCATATGAGTCTTCTTCTTCCTCTGAATCATAATCCATGATCTCTACTCTATTGTGAGTACCTTGTAAACACAAAGACAAAGATTATCACAATCAAGTTCACTGAAGAATTATAAGTAAATAATCTAGAAGAAGAAAATAACCTGAAACTAAGAATAATTTCAAATGAACAGTATATTTTTTTTTTGAATGAAGAAATCAAATAACAAATAACTATAATTTTTTTTTATTTTTAGATTAAACAGATGCAAAATAAATCAAGAACAAATTGCAAATAAATTTTTTTCTTTTTTGAATTTTCGGATTTTAAATTATGCAAATAAAACAAGAGAATAAATTTTTTTTTGATTTTTAGATGAAATAAAATATTCAGAAAATAAGGAAAACAGTTTTTATAGACTTAAAATTTTATAAAATTCAATACACAAGACAAAAAATAACAAATCAAGCAAAACAGTTTTAATGAGTTTATTTTTTATGATGAATAATGAAATCAAACAAAATAATAAACAGAAAATAAGGATAAAGGTTGGATGGATACAACCTGGAGATAGGAGCATTTGAAGCTATGATACCATATGATATAAGATTGGAATCACTTCAACTTATGATCACAAGATGATCAAGAGAGTTCCAAGCTTATGGTGCGAAATATGGGATGAAGTCGGAATAGAGATGAAAATGGTGTTGATTGACTTGCTCAATCGGTGGGATGACTGACTCGCTCAGTCAGTGGGATGACTGACTGGCTCAGCCGTTGGAACTAGCCTTGTCTGAATCACACAAATAAATATATTCTAAGAATCAGTAGAAACAAAAAAATCACTCAATTGAATCTAAAGACAAGTTGTTTAAACAAAGAACACCTTTGAATAAAAAGAACAAAAGTTTTAGACTTTCTTAGATAAAAGTGGTGTTCTATAAATGAAATAACTATGAGCTTATATAGTGCTCAGTTCTTCCTAAACAATAACTCTAAAGAGAGAATTAAGCAAAAATCAAAGAAAGATCAAAAAGAGAGATTAAAGGGACTTTGTATCTGGATGGCTTGAGGGTTTAGGTGAGCTTCTGTGGGACGACTTTTCTTCTCAAATAATCATTCAAAAGGCTGAAGTCTTGGCTAGAAACTAGCTTTGATTTGATGGAATTCTGCTCCAA